TGGTGTGTAGCTAAAAACATTCTCACGACCTCTAGTACATGTCGTGACTTAAACATAAGAACATATTATGGCTAAGGCTACAGTTATACACGTCGTAATAATAATATTAAACACCCTGTCTGCTGACAGTCATCAACTCTTCTCTCTAGTTATCCTTGACCAGATGTACCCTGTAGAAACTCATAAGCATGACTAAGCATTTAACAGTCTAACTAGACATCCTATCTCCACTAAACATTTCTAATACATAAAGTATCTATCCAATTTCTATCTGACTAAAAATACTTAACACATGCAAACAGGAACACACCTAGGCAGCAGCTCATTTGTTTTCTCAGAAACAATATGGCACTGAATAGGGTGACGGGGGTGTGACTGACATGTTGAAGCTAACCCTCAGCCTGGTAAATACAAGAAACAAATAAACCAAGGCAGAGAAAAGCCTAGTACGCCGAACAAACAGTGACAAGACGATGCTAATTAAAATGGCATTTAAACACCAGGTCATAATTTACACCACCACACAGAGTACAGCTGACGGACTGGTGATGATATGTCATGCATTATTTGTACAGGACAGCTTATGCATTTATGTTCTCTATGGTCATGACTTTTAGCTATACTTTTTTAACTGTTCACTACTTTTAGTTAGTTTAGTTGAGTTGTTTCCAGCCACTGTGGTTTAATTATCCAACCAGTGAGCACTGAGCCTGCACCAGGAAGCTTTGCTTGTAAAATATGAGCAAAAACCATGGTTCATACTTAAATAGTCTAAACGTATCCCTTAACTTGTACAGGTTGAATTTCACACAGGTTGAAGCCACACTCCAAATCCCTAGGTATTTTTATAATTCATAGGTTTCTGTTGTGCTGTTGTGGTTTGTGGCTGCTAGTAATGAGTAAGAGTGCCGACAGTAGTGTGCCATTCAGTCCAGCTGTAAAAGGAAAGACAGGGGAACCCATCAGCTCACAGCAAGGGGCATTAGCTGCTAATCAGACTCCCCGGCGTGCTCATTGCCTCCTGCTTTTAATTAAAGGGCCGGTTTGGTGCCGACTGATAAGGAGCTCACCGATGTACTCCATTTCCTGCCCTCTACCTTTAAAATCATATATTCCTCAGTGTCTTCCTTTAAACTTGATAAGTTTCCTTTTACAATGATATATTCATTATTTAAAATAGAAAGTGGGATCTTCTGTAAAAAAAGATTTCTCACTTAAGGTAAAACTCACAATGGAATACCTATATTCAGGTTATGTGTCTACAAATACCAGACTTAAAGCCATATTCCTACATATGTTTTTTGTGTCAGAAAATAATATTTTTAAGTGAGAACCAGGTCCTGAGTTATGTTTATTTTGTCTGCATCTGTCTGTGTGGCAAGAGCAAGGGCAGGTCTCGAAGATTTTGGATGGGTTGGCTAGGCTGGGGCATGTGTAAAAGATAAATTAAACCCTTAGCTGTATGAAATATTGGACCATACATTATTAAGAATCAAGTTGTTTGTTTTGTGTATAAATGCCTCACACGTAGTACTTTCTTTTGTTAGCTTTGGCTGTGCTCCTTATTTAGTGAGGGCATCACTTCTGCACAGTGGTACCCCCCACCCCCCCACTGAGGTGATTCAGGTCAAGTACAACAACACAGTCAGAGGAATGAATGCAACTGTATATAAACTGTATAAAATAAAACAAATTTGACCATTATCAATTATAAAGCATCAGAAAATGTTAGTTATATTTAAGGCAACAGTTTGTCGTTGTCTTTCATTCATTAATACTGACAAGCATCACATTTTGACTCTGGCAGGAGTGGCCAATCAGATCCTGGGGATGGCCCCTGGCCACCCCCTTGGCTCTGCCCATTGGCAAGATCAGTCAGACCTGTGATTAAAACTGTGATAATTTGTAGTGAACTTATATTAGTCTCCCTTTTGCCTGGGTCTCCATGTAACCTCTGGAGGACCGAAGCAGCTGGTCACTCGTGACGTGTTGAACGAGCAGGACTGTGAATGAAACAGACAGAGATCCAGGGGATTAAAGACTCAGCAGGGAGAATAATTACTTTGCTGATGGTGAGACCTGAAATAAAATGACCTGACCACCTCTGAGAGAGCTGTTTCCATAGCAACCCAGTTGAAAGAGTAGAAAGGCAAAGCATAGGAGCTGAGAGTGCCTGACTGTCTACTCACACACACACACACACACACACACACACACACACACACACACACTGTACCAACCGACCAGTGTTTCACTGTCTACTTATGCCTGGTGGATGCTAAGAATGCAGCGAGTCAAAGTATTAAATATTCATTACATCTTTTTCATATTGCTAACCTGCCTGCATCTTCATCTACACCTCCTTTCTAACTGGTGTAAATTTAATGAAATAAAAACCTGTCCCTATTTTTCAGCATTCAGTTTAAGAAAGCTTTATTGAGGCAGAAGGGAACACGGAGAAAGGTGAGAATGAGTAGGAGGTAGAGAGAGAAGAGCTGCAGACCCTTGGCAGCAGATCAAAGGATGTGGTGAAGAAAGACAAATCACACTGAACTGACAGGGATACACACAGAAAGCTGACATATGCGATGAAGGAGGGGCAACCGTCCGACACTTTTACCTTTGGAGTTCGTTTCATGTTCCTTTCATGATGTTGAGTTGAACATTAAAACTTCTTTAGTTTTACTCTGCTTGTCTGATGTGATCGTGCAATCCCTTGTGCCATTAAACTAACATGAGAGTTAGTTTAGAAACCTCAATTTGACATTTGAGGAAAAAGTTGCACTGGAGTGGGAAATGTTGTTGCAGTTATTAAATCGGCTCCTTCTGACACAGATATTTTATTGAATGAGGCCCAAGACATTTCCAGAAGGTGCTGTTCCTTATCGCTTTACTCTGTAACACATATCTGAAGTGTGTTGGTCTTTGGTTCTTCTTACCATACTGACTCTGAGAGACGAGACAGTCCAAGTAACTTCAAAACAGTGCTGATTTATTCAAAGGATCACAGGTAAAATTAACATTACACGCTCAGGTATCTTGCACCTCCAAACTGCTCGCAGGCAGATGTAAGATGAAAGACCCTGAACCCACCAGGCCTATACATGATATCCCTTCGGTTGGGCTAGCCCCATACTACACAGAAACGTCAACCGAGACGTCTCTGTTGCCAGCTTTGCAGCTGGCCATAGCAGTAGTCAAAACATGAAGCAAATCAATGTGCGTGTGTGTGTGTATCTGTTGATTAAGTGGTGTGTAACTAAAAACATTCTCACGACCTCTAGTACATGTCGTGACTTAAACATAAGAACATATTATGGCTAAGGCTACAGTTATACATGTCATAATAATAATATTAAACACCCTGTCTGCTGACAGTCATCAACTCTTCTCTCTAGTATCCTTGACCAGATGTACCCTGTAGAAACTCATAAGCATGACTAAGCATTTAACAGTCTAACTAGACATCCTATCTCCACTAAACATTTCTAATACATACAAGTACCTAATCAATTTCTATCTGACTAAAAATACCTAACAAGTGTTAAAATGTCTGTTTAATAATACAACTCGAAAAGACTATTTTATACCAGCTACAGTTTAAATAGCTGAACAAATCAGCTGGTGTGAACTGAAAGAACATGCCAGATGAAATAACAGTATGGTAATAAAATATAGATAATTAGTCCAATTCTGTGTGCAACCCAGTGACTTGGGACCATTTTCACCAATTTTGTTATAATTAGGCTTGAAATAATATGGGTATCCCAAAGGTGCCTGTTTTATTCACTGCAAGTAAAAGTTTAAATGTATGGAAATGGTGTTAAAGATGCCATTAGCCTGTGCATAAAAGTTGCAAAGCTTTTAATTGCATCCGCTGAAGCATGTGATGTTACAGGTGCTTCCATTACTGCAGGAAAGGCAGGGGTTTTACATCTGCTGCATGTGTTTTTTATTTATTTCACAAGATTTGGCCTAAAAAACTCGAGGCTTCCTCCATCAGCCTGTTACACTCGGATGATTATGCAGC